ATTGAAATATATACCCACCACGTATATTTATTATCTTCCTCTATTTTTTTAATTATTTATATCGCCCAAACATTGAAAAAGGAGAAAATTGTTTTAAAGCCATACATTTGTGCAATAGTGCAGAAAACTGGAAAAAGTATCGTTTGGCTAAAAAAGAGACAAAGAGAGCGGTGAGCAAAGCATGTAATAAAGCTTACGAGGGGTTTTATTAGGAGTTAGGAACAAAGGCGAGGGAAAGAAATATTTACAAGATTACGAAGCAAACAGAGAGGAAAAAGAGAGATCTGGATCAAAGTGAAGTGTATAAAGGATGAAGATGGTAAAGTGCTAGTTACTGATGGTGATATTAAAGATAGATGGGAGGCTTACTTTTACAAGTTGTTTAATGAGGGAAGTGAATATGTGACTCAGGACTTACAGGATTTGCTAAGTAGCAAAGATGATCAGAATTTGGTTTTTCATTGTTCCGCATTGGAAAGGTTAAGACAGCTCTCAAAAAAATGGACAATGGTAAAGCCGTTGGGCCTGATGGTATTCCTATTGAAATTTGAAAATGTTTCGGCGAGAAGAGTGAATTGTGGCTAACCAAGCTTTTTAATGAAATTTTACACTCCAAGAATATGCCGGATGATTGGAGGAGAAGCATCTTAGTTCCTATTTACAAGAATAAAAGAGACATTCAAAACTGTGCAAGTTACAGAGGGATAAAACTTATAAGTCATATAATGAAGTTGTGAGAAAAAGTGATTGAACAAAGGTTGAGGTTGGAGATTTCTATTTCGGAGAACCAATTTGGATTTATGCCTGGAAGATCCACAACTAAAACAATCTATTTACTAAGGGGGTTAATAGAAAGATATAGGAGTAAAAGAAGGGATTTATATATAGTTTTTATTGATTTGAAAAAAGTTTATGATCGTGTGCCAGGAGAAGTACTTTGGAAGGCCTTGGAAAAGAAAGGTGTACGGGTCACTTATATCAAATTCATACAAGATATGTATGAGGGGGTAACTATTAGCGTAAGAACGCCTGGAGGTGAGACAAAGGACTTTCTCATTAAGATTGGTCTACATCAGGGATCTTTTTTGAGTCCTTATTTGTTTAATATTGTTCTGGATGTTCTAACTGAGCTTATTCAAGAAAGAATCCCCAAGTCCATGCTCTTTGCGGATGACATAGTCCTCAAAGCAGAGTCAAAAGAAGAGATTAACTCTAGTTTGGAGTTATGGAAAAGGACTTTAGAGTCGAAAGGTTTTCGCTTGAGTAGGAACAAAACAAAATATATGGATTGTAATTTTGGTGCGAGGCAAAGCAATGGTGATTTAGAGGTGAAGATGGGGGATTAAATCATTCCTCAAGTATCAAAGTTTAAATACCTTAGATCCATTATACATGAGAATGGTGAAATTGATGGAGACGTTTCTCATAGAATACAAGCTGGTTGGTTAAAGTGGAGGAACGTTACCGGAGTTATTTGCGATAAGAAGGTACCTGAGAAGCTTAAGGAAAAATTTTATCGGACTGTTATAAGACCAGCTATGCTGTATAGTAGTGAATATTCGGTGATAAAGAGAAAACAAGAGCACAAAGTTGGGGTAGTAGAAATGAGGATGTTGAGATGGATGTGTGGTCATACAAAAAAAGATAAAATCTAAAATGAAAATATCAGAACAAGAGTTGATGTGGTGCTTATCTAAGAGAAAATAGTTAAAAATCGCTTAAGATGATTTGGACATGTGCAAAGAAGGCCACTGGGGGCCTCAGTAAAGAGGATAGATCAGACAATATGGAGTCCCATAAAAAGGGACAAAGGAAGACCGAGAAGAATGCTCAATAAAGTCATTGAGTGAGACCTCCTAGTCAATAACATATCTAAGGATTGAGTTGTTGACAGAGTATAATTGATTCATATAGCTGACCCCACCTAGTGGGATAAGGCTTGTTGTTATTGTTGTATTTGTTCTACTTACATTCTGCTCGATAAAGAATTTGGTTAACATGAAGAATAAGTAGCGTTTTGGATTAAATTTATGAATCCTGCATGAATTGTTTATTTTCTTTCTCTGTTTCTTTAATTATTTGTTCTGCTTACCTTTTACTCTTAGTCTCCTCGTTATTCTTTTGTTCTATTGCGAAGACCAGAGCAATTATTTGAATATAATAAAACAAATACATAGCTGATATGAATGATATTAGAAGGAAAATGAACTCAAAAAAAAATATTAATCTAAACTTCTTGTAGAGTTGGAAAATAGGCTGGCGGGCTTAAAAGAGTTGGTCTTATAGGGTCGAAATTTTAAAAATACCCTAATTTGTTAGGCCCGGCCTTTAAACAGACGAGCTCAGGACCGGCCCATGGCCTTTCAGCTTGTTTAAAAAAAATTATTTTTCATATTTCTTACATGTTTTACAAAAAAAAAAAGAAAATAAACAAATAAAATTACTAGTGAAAGATATAAGTATGAATAAAATTAAGTCACAAATATGAGATCATCATATATAAATGTCTATTAACATACAAAAAATCTAAAACACCCATTAGACATAACAAGTCAATAACATTAACATCCAAGAATTCCATTAAAAATAGACAAATGCTTTCACTTAAAAAAAAAAAAAGACAAAAATTATTATCACTATCATCAATTGTAATGATATTTGATTGTGCTTCACTAGTAATAGGCTCTTCTTAACTTCTAAAAATGTTAATAATTTCTTCTCAATACTATTTAGCTATTCTGGAGTCTAATATGTCTTCTTCTGTCTTTTTTAATTGAATTTTTTACGCACTAATAAGTTTATTTATAAGTATTAATGTTAAGTTTGTTTTAGAGGTTTCAACTTAGCAATCATTGGAGATTGATTCTGTGTTGTCTACTTACTACCTCCAGTCCTAATTATAAGATCTCATTTGTAATTTACAAACGAGATCTTATAATTAGGATCAGAGGTAGTATTTATTTTCTTAGGTTTTAATTGTAAAAATCACTTTGTCACACAGTCTCATGAGAAGTTTGAAATACCTTGACGCTTTGGATTAAGCCATAATATGCTTTTCATTAGCTAACTATGTCATCCTCTTTTTACTTTTGTTCAGGATGGTCTTTTTTAGTTTTGTCTAGCTCACTTGTCTAACTCTATTTAAATATAGAGTAAAAATTTTGATATAGTCACTATAGAAAAAATGTTAATTTATTTGTTAAAATTTTATAACATATATACAAATTGATTCGTATTTGTTGGTTCAATCATTAAAATTTTTGTTTTAATATGGTGAATATATTTTGTTTATTTTAATATATAACTGTTGATTCAAATAAATACAAATTTGAAATCTGATTTAGGATATGAATAATATATTTTTATTTATTTTAATATTGTTAGAGACTGAGGTGTTAGCTAAGAGTGAGTGAAAGACTGAAAGTGAAACTTAGAGAGAGAGTGTGTGTAAAATGTTAGGGATTTAGATTAGGGTCAAGAAAAAAATAAATTTAAAAAATTACTGTTGACGAGTTTAAATGGGCTAGACCTTTTATTTTTTGACCTTATAGGACTAGCCCTTTTGAGTTCAAATTTTCTTTGAAGACTCCAAATTATAAGCCCGACTCTCAACTTAAATAAGTTTAAACGAGCTGGCTTGACGGGCTTATCCATTTTCCTGGCTCTAACATCTTGTCAATTGACTAATCACGTCATAATTTAGACTGAGGTAAAGATAGCTTAGATGAAAGTCATTATTGATTTTTTTTTGTTGGTGTTTTTCATTGCTTGCTTCAATTGGACACGAAATCTATAATAATGTGATGTGAACATATAATATACAGCAATAAACAGGCAGGTACGAGTAACCTGTGCCTTTGCCTGCTATGCCCCCATATAATACTTCCACCCGGCTCATTTAAGTCTGTCCATTTCGGGCTTTTGATGGGCCGACTCAAATGGACAAAAAAACATTGCTGATAGTGGGTGGGTCATGCAGGGAACGGTTTGCTTGCTGCCTAAACTAACTTTCATAGGATTTTCCCAAAAAAAGCAAGAGTTAGTTCATAAGGTTTTTTGCTGTATGGTAATTCAAACGACATGAAAAATGTTAGGGTATTTGCGAAAAGACAAGTATTAAGAAGGGAAAATGTCATATAGGACCCTAGAAGCAAGATAATCTCATATCAAGCTCAAAGAATTTTGAAACTTCACTACCGGTCCTCATTTGGAATTAAATTGTACGGTTAAATTTTGAAAACACCTTTCAAGTAATTATATATATATATATATATATATATATATATATATAAAGCCACCATTGTTGTTGGGCCATCCGGCCACCGCCAATGATAGAATGTGTTGAGGTGCAAAGGATGTTCTATGGAACCAAGAAATTACTTAAGTTATAATATATAAAATAATATTATTTTTCTTAGTTAAAAATTTAATTTAGTCATAAATATAATATTTCAATTTATCTTATATTTTTTAATTTCTTTCCAAATTACTCTTATTTATATTTTTTTAAGCTATAATTAAGTAGAACAAGATACTGGTAGCTCAATGGTCATGCTAAATTTTGGCCTAAACCACTACCCATTGAATTAAAACTTAGCCAGCTTAGATTTAATATTTTATAAATTTAGTAACAAAATTTTAAATTATTGAAAAATAAATAATTCAAATTATTAAAAATTAAGCAGGAATGTTTAAATTGCAATGAAACATAGTTGAAGGATAAATTTATCTCTAGACTATTGACATTTTTCAGTAATATTACTAGGATTTTAAATTTTTTTAAAAAAATTTGAATCTAAAAAAAATTTCAGAATAAAAATTTTGGGCGTAAATTTGCATCTTAATCCTAATTTTAATTAAGTACCCAGAGCTTGCAAACATTTTAAACTCTCTGACCCCTTCATGCTATTAAGTATCTTGTTGGGGCTTTGAATGGGATTCTTCCAAAGAAAAATAACAGCGGCTTAGAAATGGGATTCTTCAGCCCCAAAATACAAAAGAAACGGGATTCGATTTCGTGCGCGAAGGCCGAAGAAGACTAGAAAAGGCGGGGGAAGGGCGCAAAGTGGCGATGTTGGGATGCCAAATCTCGAAAATTCAATTGCAGCGTCAACGGCGCCGTTCATATCAAAGCAGAGCTTCAAGCTCGACCAGAAAATCAACACAAGAGGGACGACGAAATGGAGATAGTTTAGACGGACGAAACTGCGATTGAGGAAGAAAAGCAAGAAATTGGAGGAGGAAAGTGCGAGAACAAGAATCGTGGAGAGATTGAGAAGAAACCGGCCATAACTGTCAAGCTTTGAGCAAATTCAGAGTTGAAGGATCATCTTCACGCTTTGTTAGATCATCAGGTAACTGCTTCGTGATATCCCTTCTATATTCTTTTTCACTCCTACAACCACAAAATATTCACCGATGAAACTGAGATACAATCCGAAATGCTCAAAAGAACCAATTGGGAATGAAAACTTACTCTACCTCGAATGCTCTACTGCTCCGGATTTTTTTGCAGGAGATTTGGGTATTCATTTCTAGTGATTTTTCCGGGTTATTATAAAAGGGATATGCCATCAAGTGAAAATGGGCGCAGAAATAAGTCTCCAGTTTCTTTTAGCAACTGGAATTTGGATCTTCCCTATTGAAGTTGCTTGGTAACCCTTTGATGTTTCTGTTTGAATTATATTTGTTTTAGTTCTGGTTTTAGTTATTAACAAGCAATTAGATTTGGTTTAGTTGTTTTCAATTAGTTGCCTTTTTAGTCAACTGAGGAAAGACCATGGATTCGTGTTTATGATTTCTCTCCACTTTTCTTGCAGCAAAATAAAAGCTACTCAAAACGATTTTTATTCACAGTTAAATGAATCTCATTTTCTGACGTTTTTTAACTCAGGAAGGAAGAATTAAAGCAAGAAGAGTTAAGAATTGATAAGGGATCGTTTGACCTCATGCCCACACACATCCTTGATCTACCCAGAGAATTCCTTGAGTTCTTGTGCGATCATTTATCGTTTAGAGATCAAATCCAGTTTGCTAGATGCTGCAAGTCATTGTACTCTTTGGCATTTAGAAGGCCTAACCCTAAAGCATGTGAGAAGCCATGGCTTATCGGACTCACTGAAAACCCTACTCTCTGTGGAAGAACATACAACGAGGTAACATACCATCAGATACAAGCAAAATCATTCAAGCATTTTGATCCACATATTATTGGATCCTTCAAGGGTTGGTTATATGTGCAATATAAATTACACAGCTTAACTCAGCTTATAAATGTCTTCTCCAATATTCATTATGATCTCCCACCTTTATCTACTATGAAGAATTTTGTGCCTTCTGAGATAAAGTACGTTAGAGCTTTTGCAGTATCATTTTGTAAATTTATGAGACCAACTATGATTGGAATTGTTTCTGGTCTTGGAAGCTTAGCCTTGTTCAAGATTGGAGGCAGGAACTGGAAAGGTCACAAAAGAGAAGAACGGTATGTTAACCTGACATTTTACAATGTGAAAATGTATGCTATGAGAAAGGAATTTAACCAGGTTGACATATTTGAAATTGACGACAATTTGGAGCTTTCTCTTGTGGGTGTTATAGATTCTTCAGAAGTTATTGATGCTTCATTACCAGTGCCTCCACCCTTCCAGGCCTACCTAGTGGTGGATTCTAAAGATAATAATCTTTTTGTTGTGTTACAACATCGTAAGATGTTTGGCTCTGTTTTGATGGCCATTGAGTTCGAGATCTTTAAGACAAAAGATGGAGATCAATTAGTGAAAGTGGATGCGTTGGATGGTCAAATTGTGTTACTGAGTGACACATGTTCTGAGATTATTGATGTTAAAGATTGCCTTTCTTCTGCATTTTTCGGGGGAAACCAAATATGTTTCACTACTGGATTTGATCATGATTTTGGTATTTATTCCTTCAATGATAAAACTATCAAATGGTTATTTCCATTCAGGGAAATGTATTGTCTACATTGGATGTTTCCTAGATTTGCATCTTATTGTGAATCACAACCTTCATCATCATCATCATAACTATTTTCTGCTACTATTATTCTTCTCCGTAAATTGATATACTGCAACAACAAAAAATTCCTAGATTTTTGGATGCTCGAGACCATGTTCTTTTAGATTTATTTCACTTGCTAAATTTATTTTTCCAATGTTTCTTTTATTATTAGTAGCAGTACCAGTAGTATTTCACTTGACTTTGAGTAGTTCACTAATTCTTTGTATTCCTTGCCTATGGTCATCAATTTTTTTTTTTTTTAAAAACCTTTTAATACGAATTGGCTCTTTGTCTCAGGAAAAACTTGAGGCGTAGTAGCTTAAATCTTAATAAAGAAACTCTCTTCTTACTCCAAAAGAAAAAAAGACTTATTGGTGACGTGTGGTGACAAATCGATGACCATTAAAAATTACCACTAGAAGTTTGTTTTTGACGAAATATCACCAACAAAAATACGCTTTGTCACTAAAAGAATTTTAAAAAAAATGAATTTGTTTAAAAAATAAATATAGTTCTAAAATTATGTAAAATAATTCCAAAAAATTATCACCTAAATGATTAAAATAAATAAAAAATGAAAGAAGTGAAATAAATGGAGATATGACATCACCCATGAGAAAAGGAGAGTAAGAGGAGGGAAAAGAAGAGAAGCCCTAAGTTTAACATATATTTTCAGGGCAAACTACTCAAAAGCACAAATCTTTTTGTATTTGGTAATAATTATAAAAGTGTTTTGTGTTTAGTGATTTTCAACTGTTATGATATTTCTTAAATAAAAAAATGTTCAAACAAATAAGCAGACTTTTATATTTAAGATGATCGAAGTGGAAATGATATTTTAAGCCATCTTATCCGAAAATCATTGAATAAACACATAAATTAAGATAAACTAGAATAAAACCTTTTAAAATTAAGATACACTAGAATAAAACCTTTTAAACTTATTGGTCTTTTCGAATTTGAATCTGATTCTAGCCCATTTTATTTATTCTGATATGACTTGAAATAAGTGACAATTATCTCTAGTTTAATTACTTTATCTTCTCAATTAGATCGGACATATCATCGAAATAAATCATTATATCCAAAAGGCTTATTGTGATAAGGGATTAAACCATTTAAATCAAATTCCACTAATATATATTTGGAGTCATCTAACTTATGACGAAACTTCACTTATATGTTTCGGAGGATCCTATTATGTTAAGTGTTCTTTGGAAGTTGGAATCACTCAACAAGACTTTACCTCCCAACTAGGTATGTTCTTTTACGATATAGGAAGTCTTATGAATGAATTGTCCTTATAAATAATATAATTCATCATAAAATTTTATACTTCTTTTATTTTTTATGGATGATTATTAGTATATTGATAGTTAAGTAACCCAGGATTATGGAAGAGTCACAGCAATTAGAAGAATTAAGAAGCGAGAAGAGATTCTTTGATCATATGCCAAGAGATATCCTCGATTTCTTATGTGATCACTTATCAATTACAAATCAACTTCAATTTTCTAGGGTTTGTGAATCATCTCACTGTTCAGTTTACAAACGACCAAACCCTAAATCCCAAGAAGATCACACTCCATGGCTCATCAGTCTCACTGAGACGAACTCGTCGTTCTGCAAAACAATATACGACGACCAAGTCACATGTTATCATATAGGATCAGAATCATTCAAACATCCTGATCCAAAAATTCTTGGATACTTCAAGGGATGGTTATTTGTTCAATATTATCACAACGACTTAACCCAACTTGTGAATCTCTTCGTGAATTTTCAAGTTGATCTCCCACCTTTGTCGTCCGCCATGTTTAAACAGAAAAGTCGCTATTTTTATGCTCAAGCTTTTGCATTATCATTATGTAAATCTATGAGACCCATTTTGATTGCAATCGTTTCACAATATGGGGACTTAGCTTTGTGCAAGATTAATGGAGGAAGTACATGGAAAGCTCATGATGATAATGATGATCACCAACAAGGACAACGAAGGTACTATGTTAATATAACATTTTACGATGAAAAATTGTATGCTATGAGGAAGAAATTCCACCAGATCGACATATTTCAAATTGAAGAAGAAGGTGGTGCTGATGATTTGAGGCTTGTTCCTTTGGGTGTTATAGATTCTTCCCAAGTTATTAATGTTTCGATATCGCCATTGTTAAGGCAAGCTTATCTAGTGGAGGATTCTAGAGGAGATAATATGTTTCTTGTGATGGAATATCAAGAGAAGTTTGGCTTGCTTTTTCAGTTTGAGATCTTCAAGGTGGTAATAAACGGGGACGATGATCTTCTGTTCGTGAAAGTGGATACCTTGGCAGATCATCAGATTCTGTTACTAAGTGAATCGTGTTCTGAGATCATTGACGTTAAAGATTGTCCCACTACTTCTTCTGTTTTTAGAGGGAACCAAATATGTTTCATGGGTGGTTTATATCATGATGTTGGTATTTTTTCGCTCAAAGATGAAACTACTATTTGGGCATTACCAGATAGGGGCGTGCAATGGATATTTCCTAGATTAGCAACAACTGGATGCTGTTGTAACTCACATTGATACGAATCTAGAGGGCAATTTTGTCACTTTACGTCATATTTTAGCCAGCCGAGTAAGAGAAGTCTCGGTAGAAAAGAATATGACAAGTGGCATGTTGCATATATACATCGGAGTTCCTCTAATTAAGTCATTTTATTTTTATTTTATTTCTATGTAATTTTGTTATTTAAAAGAGTGATTTTGAATTTAGTGAATACTAAGAAGATTTGAAATATATTTTTTAGATATTTTGAATTATTCAAATGATATCTGAAATTTATTAGTCCACATCATCATTCATCTATGGCCCAATTAAATGGATATTTAAATTCAAATGATATTTTGAATTATGCTGACACGCCTCGGAGAAAAGAGAAGCTGGATGTAGATTTACGATTATTACTAAACGACTCCTAGACAATTTTGACCTTGAAAAGATTTACTTTCTATAGGAAGATACCTGTACCAATAAAAAAATAAAAAAAAAAGTGCTTGTGCTGACACTTCAGCAAATTTGAGTTTACATGAGGAGAGGGAGGCAGTGGTTTTTGATGAGCCTGCTTTCTTTTTTTTTTTTTTTGGTAAAGAGGAGGGCTTAGCCCATTACAAAGAAAAGCTACACATGAGGGGATAGAGATCCCATATAATCTTGGTGCACAAGGGCCCTCAGCGAGTCTGGGACCGTATCAATAAAAACAAAACTGTGTACCCTACTGAGGCCATCCTTCGCAAGCCTATCAGCAACTTTGTTGGTATCTCTTGGTGTATATTGAAACTGTATACTCCAGTTCCTTTTCCTCATCTCGACAATCAAAGTCCAAACCGAAGAGAAGTTCCCTCTTTCAACTGGGTGTTTGATGATCCTCTCAATCAACTCCTTAGAATCAGATTCAACAATGATCTTTCGTAGCCCCAGATCCCACGCAATGTTCATACCGGATAGAATAGCCCACTCCTCTGCTTCTATAGCTGAGCATTTCCCCAGATATTTAGAGAATCCAGCTATCCATTCTCCTTGGCTATTCCGTAGAACACCTCCACAAGCTGCTTGTCCAGAAATAGTATTAACAGCCCCATCCACATTGCATTTTATCCAATCCTCTCCCGGTCTCCTCCATTTAATGGGATAAGTTACTGCACCAAAACTATTGATAGGATAAACAGTGGGCTCAAAAGTATAACTCTTGTATAAATTTAGAATCACTCTCGTTGGATCTTCAGGTTTGATAAAACCTGGCTGGAAGGCATGAAGATTGCGCCAGTTCCATAGCTTCCAAGTAGCAACTCCCCATAACTGTGACCATGATGCTTCCTCATTCAAGCCAATCTCTTTTTTAAGATTAAAATGAACCCATTCAGTGAGATTCTTTGAGAAGAATTGCCTTTTCCATCTAGGATGAACCAACTCCTCCCATAGCTGTTTTGCATATCTGCAATCCCGCAATATATGAGTAATAGTCTCGACAGAATCGCAACACCATGGACAATTAGGACCGGTTAAACTCCATCTGCTGCGTCTCTCATTTGTAGGAAGCCTATCCTGTACCATGAGCCAAAGGAAGACTCTAATTCTTTCCACCCCCTTCCATTTCCATATCACATCAAAGACACGGGAAATAGGTGAGTTTCCTTTGTCTTCAATCATCCAATAAGCATCTTTAATTTTGAATTGTCCAGAATTATTTCCTCCCCATATTAAGATATCATCCCCCAATACCTCATTAGGAGGACATTTTGCAATAAGCATATTAATAATATCAGGAGGAAGAATGCTACTCAAACGAGTGTAGTCCCACTGTCCATTTGAAACCCATGTAGCCACCACAGATTCTAGTTCTATATCAGAAACATGCCTCATACAAACATCCTTAAGGAAAAAGCAAGGTTTCAGCCAAGCATCAGTAAAGAATTTAACAATGCAGCCATTACGAACTTGCCAGCAAATGCCTTGGTTTAAAATTTCCTGTTGTTGACATATAAAGTGCCATAGTCTAGAGTCTGTAGCTTTTGCCTCCCATTCACATCCAGTCCTGGAATATATATATTTATGTCTCAGGACATCAGCCCAGAGCCTAGTACTTTCACTCTTCAACTTCCAAGCTATTTTCACACCGCATGCCTTGTTCATGGAAGAAAGTTTCCTAGAGCCCAAGCCACCAACATTCTTCGGTAAACAGATCTTATCCCACCCTATTGGATGAGCTTTCCTTTCTTGTAAGTCACCCCATATGAATCCCCTCTGTAACTTTTCAACTTCATTGCAAATGGTTACAGGTAGTTTTGCTACTTGCATTGGGTACAATGGAATTGTGCTTAACACTGATTTTGCCAATGTAATTCTTCCTGCAAGCGAAAGACAGTTCATTTTCCAAGTAGCTAGTTTGATGAGCCTACTTTCAAAGTTGGGAAGTATTTGTACAATGACCCAGTGGGCCTTTGATTTCCACGAGCTAGTTTGAAGTAATAAATTTGGGCACTGGCCCGTATTAGTAAAAATTAAAAAAAAAAAAAAAGTGATCATGTAAGCATAAGTGGTCAATTGGATTGTTAATTAGGCTAACAGAGAAGGATGATGATATGAATCTTAAAAAGTTTTTGTCTAGGGGGAAAATTACCCTTAGCCCTTCCATATTACTACCTCCGATATTTAATATAAAACTTTGTTTGATTTTTATTTTGGCTCTAAATATAAGACCTTAGTCTACTTTATCTCTCATATTTACAAAAAAGTTTTTGTCTAGGGGCGTGCAATGGATATTTCCTAGATTAGCAACAACTGGATGCTGTTGTAACTCACATTGATACGAATCTAGAGGGCAATTTTGTCACTTTACGTCATATTTTAGCCAGCCGAGTAAGAGAAGTCTCGGTAGAAAAGAATATGACAAGTGGCATGTTGCATATATACATTGGAGTTCCTCTAATTAAGTCATTTTATTTTTATTTTATTTCTATGTAATTTTGTTATTTAAAAGAGTCATTTTGAATTTAGTGAATACTAAGAAGATTTGAAATATATTTTCTAGATATTTTGAATTATTCAAATGATATCTGAAATTTATTAGTCCACATCATCATTCATCTATGGCCCAATTAAATGGATATTTAAATTCAAATGATATTTTGAATTATGCTGACACGCCTCAGAGAAAAGAGAGGCTGGATGTAGATTTACGATTATTACTAAACGACTCCTAGACAATTTTGACCTTGAAAAGATTCAGCATGCATATAGATTACTTTTTATAGGAAGATACCTGTACCAATAAAAAAAATTAAAAAAAGAAGTGCTTGTGCTGACACTTCAGCAAATTTGAGTTTACATGAGGAGAGGGAGGCAGTGGTTTTTGATGAGCCTACTTTCAAAGTTAGGAAGTATTTGTACAATGACCCAGTGGGCCTTTATTTTCCACGAGCTAGTTTGAAGTAATAAATTTGGGCACTGGCCCGTATTAGTAAAAATTAAAAAAAAAAAAAAAGTGATCACGTAAGCATAAGTGGTCAATTGGATTGTTCAAATAATTTAATTAGGCTAACAGAAAAGGATGATGATATGAATCTTAAAAGTTTGTCTAGGGGGAAAATTACCCTTAGCCCTTCCATATAACTACCTCCGATATTTAATATAAGACTTTGTTTAATTTTTATTTTGGTCCTAAATATAAGACCCTAGTCTACTTTATCTCTCATATTTATGTTTTTTTTTCAAGATAGTCATTCTAATAATAATAGTTTTAACGAATACATTTGATTAGCAATGATATTTTAAAAAAAGTAACATCTATTTATTACAAATAACTAACTTAACTTATTTTTTTAATTTATTTAAATTAGTTAACTAACTCTTATATTTAATAATTAACTTAACTTATTTTCTTAATCTATTTAAATTAGTCAATTAGCTATTATATTTAGGACCAAAGGTATGGTTTTTGTTTGAAATCATGATTAGAAATACTTAAAAATCATATTTTATATAAGTCAATACAATTTTTGTTACATATTTATTTCGTATCCTGTGAATCACGATGGAAAAACTATTTATAAATTATTCCAAATACAGCTATTTTATGTATCTTATTATTTTAGTATATTCCATCAAATATCAGTTAATTTGATCATTGGTTGACGGAAAAAAATTACACAAAAGGTTTCCTAAAATTCTAGATAGTTCATAAAAAATTTAATAACAATTATGTCTCTCAAATTACTTTTTTTTTTGCCAGATATGCATCTAGAATTAATTTTTATTATTTTATATTTTTTAATTAAAATTTTATAACCTCATTCTTTTAATTTTTTATATTGAGCTCATGAAAATTTCCCTTCTCCTTCTTGCCTCCATTTCATCACTCACGCCAAACATAGGATAAATGCTGTGATTACACCTTAATCCTAAAATAAATGAAACCTTGGAAGTGGCGTCAAACGCACGATGTTCGGGATTATGACTCAGACGTAATATAAGGGCTCAGGCGGCAGCAGCAATCAAGAAGAAGAAGAGCACTAGATTGGCGGCCGGAGATTTGGGGAGCCGTCGAGGAGCGATTGCGAAGAAATCAATCGTAGCTGTCAAATTTGTGCGCCTTCAGTGTTGAGATTCAGAGATATCATCTTCACCTTCACGCCTCTCTGAAGTATGTGCTTTGTGATTCTCTCATTCTCTACCTGATAAATCTTTCTTTTTCACCCCGCGACAAAATATCCACTGTATGAGACTATCCCCTGTTTGGTTTTAGAGTTTTAGACTACCCTCCCCTCTAAATTGGTAATTGGTGGGTTTAGAAGTGGCATTTTAATCATAACAAGGCCAAAACCCCTTTCTCCGCATGAACCAAACAATAAATTGTCTTTCTGTTTTATGGGTGAAAATGGGTGCAGTTATCACGTTATTTTAGCAACTGGAATGGAATTTGGATCTTCTCTGCCGCACTTCCTTGTTAACTTTTTTTTATTTCTTCTGGAGTTATGTTTTATAAACGAGAATCGATTCGTTTAAATTGATTGAATCCTATTTGCGAATTTTTATGAAACCTTAGGTGTATGATTGCCATTGATACGCACACATTATTATGGTTATAATACTCTTTAGGAGCATTAAAGAATTGAATGGTTAATTAAAAAAAAGTTGCAGATTTATAGTTTTTTCACTCCTCCTTGGTAGGAATTACTCAAAAAGATTTTGTTGAAATTTAACTGAATCTCATTTTCTAATGTTTTTATCTCAGCATGGAAGAATCAGAGCAAGAAGAATTGAGAATAGATGAGAGATCATTCGACCTCATACCTAGAGACATCCTCAGTATGCCCAAAGATTTTCTTGAGCTCATGGTTGATCGGTTATCGATTTCAGATCAACTTCAGTTTGCTAGAGTCTGCAAGTTGTGCCACTCTTTGGTCTTCGAGAGACCTAATCCTAAAGCACGTGAGACTCCATCTCTCATTGGTCTTAGTCTTACTGCTGACCCCACTTTCTGTGGAAGAAGAACACTAAAAGAGATAACATGCTATCAGATACAACCTAAATTTTTCCAGCATTCCAACCCATGTATTATTGGATCCTTCAAGGGATGGTTATGTCTGCAATATTACAAGGAAAAATTAATCCAGCTTGTGAATCTCTTCTCCAATATTCATCTTGATCTCCCACCTTTGCCTACCATGAAGAACGTTATACCTTCTGACAAATCTCTCTCTCTTGTTGGCCCTCCTGGGTGTGTCAGAGCTTTTGCAGTGTTATTCTGCGCATTTATGAGACCCATTATGACTGCGATTGTTTCTGAAGATGGGAAGTTATCCGTATGTAAGATTGGAGGCAGTGCGTGGGAACCCCATGAAACAGATGAGCAGTATGGTAACGTGGCATTTCACGATATGAAATTATATGCTATGAGAAAGAACTATAGCAAGGTTGACATATTTGAAATTGACCATGATTTGAAGCTTTTGCCTGTGGGTGTTATAGAAATTGACGATGGTATGAAGCTTTTTCCTTTAGCTTTTGTGTGTTCTTCTCCAGTTATTAATACTCCATCAAAGTGGGATCGACCATTCCGAGCATATCTAGTGGTTGAGCCTCAGAAAAATGATCTTTTTCTCGTGATGCGCCATTGTAGGGAGGTTAAAGTTGATTTTTTTACTGTTGAGTTTGAGATCTATAAGGTGTGTGGAGATCGGCTGGTGAAATTGGATACGTTGGGAGATCAAATTGTATTACTAAATGACTCTTGCTCAGAGATAGTTGACGTTAAAGATTGCCCTCCGACCTCTCTTGTTCAAGGTAATCAAATATGTTTAAGTAGTTCGTTGAAGGGTAATTCGAAGAAGAATGTTGGTATATATTCTTTCAAAGATGGAATTGTTCGTTGGTTACCCCCATTCAGAGGATTTTATTCTATCCATTGGATGTTTCCTAGACTGGCTGGTAAATGTCACTGTGAATCCCATATCACATGTTGTCCTAAATTATCTCAAGCATCAAATAGTTAGGTGTTCATGCGCATTATCTCATGTTAGTTTCTTTTGCAGTGCAATAAAATGTTAATTACTTTTTGTTTGCATCACTCTTTTACCTGGTGTGCTCACCTCTGGCACATAGCATGTATTGATGATGTGTTCAATGGTTTGTACTTCATTTTAACTGCACATTTATTTGGATAGAAGATTATCACGAGATATTTATGAGAACTACGGTATGGTATGATATGATGGGTCCTATTTTGCTAAGAAACGGGGTAGTGATTGAGTTTGACCGGGCAAAGCTAGGTTTGTTGCAAATAATTAAAACCTATTGACCCGTCAACGGCATCATTGTTTTGGAGCAGACGTTTCATTTTCATAAAAGCCTTTTAGTATTTCTGCCCTTGTGGCTCACACGCTAAAGAGTGAGAATATTCTATTCAACTATAAGTTTAAGGCTGGAGAAATATTTGGGAACTTTTGTACATGTTGAAAAAGAGGCCTTGCCCCCACCTATGTGTATTAGTGAAAGTGGATATGTTGGACTATATTACTAAATGATGTAATATCAAACTGTTAATACTTTTTTTTCCCCAAGAAATAAAAAAGAGTAGTACAATTATCCATTGCAATGTCAAGTTTCTACATATAAATAGGACAATTTATCGGCCTTGAAAGTTGAAATAGACAAAAAAATTTTACAATTTATCAAATATAAATAATGTTGATAATAAAAGCTCTCGTCAAATTATTAATTTTACGAAACGCAAGCTGCGTGGCATGATGCATTTGATAAAATTGCCCTCGGGAGTGAAAAGAAGAAAAGAAAATGGCTCCAAAATAAATTAGAAATCTGCAACAATCCCGTATCTTTGGTGCTTACCAAAAAAATTTTCAGGTCCCAGATGTCACATTAAAAATTTGTGTATCATTTCAAAAGAATAGGAAGACTCCCATAGTACAATCGTAGCAATAGCTAATGAAACCAATGCCTGGTTAATGTGGTTTACAACTTGAGGATTAATTAGCCGCAAATCAAGTTTCAATGCCCCTGCCAGTCACAGGAAATCGAGAAGGGGGAAAGAAGAACCCAATGACGGGTAGAGGAAATAGAGATTTACACAATAGATAAAAGAAGAAAAAGAGAAAAAGGAGGATTTTCAAGCGAAAAGGTATTTTATTGCACATCTGAATCGGTGGGTGCAGATTTGTCTATGAAGTCATGCAGCTCTCGGTCCTGCTGTTTCTTCAGGTGACCCTGGGCAGTTGAATTCACTATCTTGATAAAGAAGTTCAAAAGCATCAGCCACACGAGAGTGTTCCAGATCGAAGCAAACGATAAATCCCACTTTCCCCCCTGAATGTAAAGAGATAAGCCGAAGAGGGGGAAAAAAAAGGAAATAAGAATATGTGCAATAAACCAACATGAAGACATTAAAGTTGTCGTACACAGCTGCATGATGTTCATGGGCTAGACAGGAATATGAAACATTTTGGACAATAATGCCCTTGTGAAAGGGATATTTATATTTGCAATGACAGAACTTCCACTTGTCAACATAAGAAGAATTTATATTTTATGCAAACAGAGCCTACAAGCTTATTGGACTTTAGCCCAACCTAGCTCACAAAAAGATCTATGGGTACCTGGATTTTCTGAGGAGAAACTTGATGGGGTGCCTTCATATACTTTTCTCTGACTGCCTTGAGCTTTGAAATCACATCAGGCAGGATAGAAGCAAAACCAGGAATATGGCTTACAACCCAGATGAACTCATTCTCTATCCAATCAAGAAGTTGATTATTGCAGATTAAGATGATAAATACTGTCTGCACAATAAGAATATAATTTAGAGTCAGTCAAAATCCCCCCCGTTCTTCAGAATCTTTTCATTCGCCTTATACAATATGAAATATTCATACCAAGAAAAGAAAAATGAAAATTTTGAACCTCCAGAAAGTGGGATATATGGATTAACACTTGAGAACAGTTAAGCAGGCTTCTTTTTTTTTCCCGGTTGAATACTAGTGCAAGAGATCTAGAGTTCCCTCTATAGCCGATCATCATTTGATTTGTTACAAGTAGAGCAAAAGTAATACTGAGCAGCGTATGAAAAACTAAAATTTAAACATACCTGTATATGAGTTTTGACAAGTGCCTTTCCAATCAAGGTTGGAAGAAAGAATTTCCAAAAAGGAATCCCAAATTGTCCACACATGATGCCGGCAAGGTCAAATAGAGGATTTGGCACCTGAAATTAAAAAAATAAAAATAAAAATAATAAAAATAAAGAACTAAGGCAGCTCACGTGCTGAACTAAGAAATCATCCACTCTAGCAACTTGATGTGTTAAAACGAGGGTTGGGGTCAACGCTCATTTACCAATTACACAGTTATGCATTATAAAAGTGCACACTTACCAGCTTAATTTGATTAATAAGCTGATTAACAAGGAAAATTTGATTTCAACGGGCCAAAAATATGTTTTCTATGGCAACCAAAACAATAATTCAATGAATATGATGCAATCTTTAATAAGATGAATCATTGAAGATGAAAATGTCCAAAGGCCTAAAGCCAAAATTAAGGGATCTTAACAGGAAAGCACAGTAAATTGACTCAATAAAGTTTTCAACTAATAAGCTTAAGTTAATCATTCTCTAATTAAGGGAAAGTCAAAGAATATCCCACTTATATATGAGCATAGACCACCATTATTTCCCATATCTCAATTACGGTAAAAAGAAACTTATAAAAATAGTGGTTTGTCAAGGAAGACTAAAAATTCCGGTCAGAAAAAAAAAAAAAAAAAACGTCAATAAAAATCATGAACTGTTAGATGGTGGAACACACACAGCAGTCCAGAGTCCCAATGTTCATAAACATAATAATAATAACAATAATAATAATAAAAGGCAACTAGTGTTAAAGAAGTTAGCAACACACAGAAATTCCACCTATAGAAGAAGTAACAAGTTGTACAGACAAAGGTTGAACTGGTAATGTAGGACAAAGTCCATACTAACCGAAGCAAGCACCAAAATGGTAAGGAAGTTCAGATGTTGGGAGTGTGAAAGGAGCCAACGCTTCATTTGATTTAAGTAAGTGGCCATAATCCCTTTATTTTCAGTATCCAGCTCTTCCATGGCGTCCAAGGCCCTTCCAGACTCACGTGCTACAGGAATATGATTGTTAGAATCATGCACAAACAAATTCCAAAAACAAAGAACCAAATGACTAGAAAAAGGGCCAAAAATACATTAAAAGGGCAAAACAAAGCATTTGTATCGGAATGGAAAAGGAGAAAACTAAAGATGATAAAATAAAGTGGTCAAGCACATGGCCAAAACAATATCTTCGACGACAATAGTGAAAGACCATAATATGAGATTAAAGTCAAATGGTATATGAACTGATCTGAAGAACAAAGCAAGAGATGGACGTGGATTCCAACCCACAGCTGTTATCCATAAAATGGAGGAGACATGGGCTTGCTTATAATTATTGTCATATCCAATAACTTTCAAACATTAAAACGCAGATGTCCTATTAACTCTGTCCGATCATGAAGAAATCTCTATACAGCGTGAGGGAAACAAATTTCCATAAGCTACAAAAGATAAGACTTATTTGAAATGTATAATTGCACAGGAAAGATGACCACAAGGTCAGAAAAATACACAGTAGCAGAAGCTGGGGTTAAGCTTTAGTTTAGATAAGCTTAAGGGTAGTAGGGCCTACGACAATCTCAAATTACAAATTATATAAAATTGTTATATATATTTTAGCTATAGCGAAGGCCTTACCACAGTTAAAAATAATTTACATATATATTTTTAAATTCTAACAAAGCCTTGCCCCGTTCTCCTCTTCCTAGTAAAAGCAACAAAAGAGCAGCAAAATTTTGAAAGCTTCATATCATCCTACTGAAGTAATCTTTACAAGCTAGATGAAAATAACATTATTTCAACGGTAAGCATATTGTTTTTAAATAGTATTGAATTATTAAATTAAGAGAATGACTAAGATAACAACACATACCTGCCCTTGAGATAAAGTAAGGAGGAAGTTCCCCTATAGCTGTTCCAGCACCCCAAAGAATAGCCTCCATCTGGACTTGAGGCAGAATCCTGCTAAGCGGAACCCGTGAACCATGTACTGTTTGGAACAATGGTGGCCCGTAGTCGGAGCAGTCTTTGTCAAGCCAAGAAGGACCTCTTTTCAATTGTATTGTATCATATGGAGCACTTTTCAAATCAACTCGGCCACATTGCATTGCTTTAATTGTGAAAAATGCTATGTGAGGACCCAGATATAAGACAAAAGTGTGTAAACCAGATCCTGAGCCAATGGAAAAATACGTACATATATAAGAAGATAATTTACCAAAATAGAAAAAGGAAGCAGAAGGTAAAAGACCGAACATGATTGTGGCTTACAAGGATTGGTAAATCCTTAAAAGTATGGTCACACATTTTACACAAGTGCCTCTTTAAAGTGAAGATCACAAACCAACGGTGTCTAACAATCAAGAAAACACAAAGGTACAAAGATAAATTATCTTCTTGCATGCATCTTTTACTTACCAAGGCCAATGGAAGATGCAACACCAAGGGCTATCCACCACAATCCGAATTGGAAATAATTATGAAGCTCCTCAATATGCTGCAAGATCACAAGTTATTGTAGTCGAAGTATTTAAACAACATCGTGAAAGATTTAAAATAAATACTATAAAGGTAGAATACAGTAACAAGACGATATATATGGATATAGATTTTGTCATCATCATCATTGACATTTAACAGAAACATTGATCCCACATATTACTATTTGAGGCTGTTGTAGAGGGATTTTAGTCTAAGTTCACCTTCCAAAAGTGTATATAGCGTGAAATTGCCAACCAAGCCCACTACGAAGGTTAGAAAATAGAATATAAGATAATACCTTTTCATGAGGACCATCAATGGTCATCAGCACTATGCCAAAAGCTCCTACAAAAGCACTGAACAGCAAAAGCCACCCACCTTTTGCCAACAAATATAATATTGTCTTCTTCATAAAATCAATAACAGCTAATGTGAAGAATTTTAATGTTTTGAAGGGTTGTGTGGTTAGTGTCAAAATTTCTAATTCCTGTTGATGCTTCTCACGGAGCCCTGCAAAACAAGGAAATTTTAGCAATTAATTCCAAATATTACGGATGCAGATTGAGTCACAACTAATTGTATTGACGAGAAAGA